TGGACTGCAGAAACCAAATAATTCATCCCGATTTGAACAATATTTGCCTATAATCCCCTAGCAAGATTTGCAAAACTTTGATAATCTCAAACTGTCGCGATAAAAAGGAAACGCGGAAGAATTCCATTAAGACTTAATGAGACTAAAACCACAATAAACCATCCTCCCATAATTTTCCCAATGGTTTCGCATTCTACTCTAAAATAATTGGACCAAACGACCGAAAAATATAAATTATAAATTCCAACAATAAAAAGAAAACGAGAGAGAAGTAAAAATTAAACCAACTAAAAACCTAATGCCATTCATCATTCCGCCCAGTAAGTAGAACAAGATCATACGTTTTGCCTCGCGCGAAAAAAAACTGGGACGCATTGGGCTAAGTGAGACAACAGATGCCCGCGGATTCACGGTTGATGTATCCTCATTACCAAAACAAAGGACCACAAAAATACCAGAAATAAAACTTTTGAATGGAGTGTGAGAGAAAAAATTCATAAGTAACTGTTCACACCAGCAGAAATACCTCAACCCCTCTCGACTCATATAAAAAAATTATCGATCTGCGCTATCTCAAGCCGTTTAAACGACAACACAAGCTGAGAATAGCCCTGAATTGGTCTACCATGTACGTAATGAATCATTAACCGAAAATCGAAATGCAACTTCGAGCCACCCAGCAACAGGGTTCCGATTCCGGCGGCGCGCCAACGGTTTGTCTATATCACTTGCTCCCTAGCTTCACTATCCGCATGAAGAAAATAGGCATCAGATAATCGTATTAAAGCAGAGATAAAAGAACGATGAATTTCCTCAACCGCGATACAACAGAGATACCACCGTAGTAGCAATAAATATAGAAAAAAAACAATTTCCAACTTCCTGATCACGGCGGCATAATTTATCATCTAAAGAGCAATTTTCCCCTAAGAAGCTTTGAAACACCCGACAGTGATAGCCTCACCGATCAATTTCCGCTTTTCTCATGTACACTCTTCCGTTATCTCCCCCTCGCCCTTGTCTTAGTCACTGAGATAAACACTCCCCCCCTGCAATAAAAACACGAGACCAAGGAAAAAATAAATGAAAAACGACTGAGGAGAGGAAAAAAGGTGCTTAAGAAACCAGGAAATTCTCTTAAAACGTGCCTGCAGCTTTTTAATCCAATGAGCTATTATTTTTTCTCCTCTGGTCGGCTTACAGGTGTCCAAAACTACGTATATGACACGTAAACTCCCACCTAAACAGCCTCTCTAGCACCCACTGGCACCCAGTATACAACCCACTCCGCTTGTCGTGGCCAACACACGTTGCCTTTGCCAGTTGACACCCAAGTGTGAATGACCTACAGCACGAGTACACGATCACAGCTATTATCAGGATGTCTATCAAGGCCCAAGTGTGATTGTCACCCTGGATTTACAATGTAACTGTACGTAATCAGTGGGAGGAAATCGAGTGCTTCACGTACATCAACCACCTGTACTCAACCGCCGCCATAAAAAATTAACTCGACCCAATCTCCAGATTAATTCAAAAACCGTCACTACAAACGTTATCACACAATTGAAAAAACCTGTTACTGTCTACAGCCACCGAACGACGTGATCAATCAGCATTTCAATTAATTCCCCAGATAGACACTGATTTCTCCCCAACTGAAGAAGCATCCGTTCACCCGAGTGAATGATAAATCATCTAAACAACTATGTTTCTCGATTAAGTTCGTCATAACCGAAGAGAGTTCACGGGAGATTTACGGGGGTGGTACATAGGGCCGATAAAATACGCGAGAGGCCGTATTTTACACCCTTTATTATCGTTTTTATTTTCCCAGGGAGGCCACCCCGCACGTAGAAAAAACACGCGAGACTGAAGAGCCACTCTCTTCGGACGAAGGGCTGCAACGTAACTGAGGATGCTGTGATGGAGCCAGTCGTATCAGAGAAGAGGGTGGCATGGTGGATTGTATATAGCTATTCACTGAGGGGGGGATGGTTTTTGGTACACGTAGATGACTGCTAGGAGCAGCACCTGTACGTGATCAAAGCCCCGTAGAATCCGAGCGTCGCGACGCTCTTGCTGTTAGAAGGGGTCGCCTCCTACCAGTGCTGCGTTCTCTCCGATTTCCGCGTGATGCTGCGGACTGGACCACCACGCAAGAATATCCCCCACCATTCGGCATTTTCACCTCCCTCAACCTGGCAAGCAGGGGAATGAGTGGACGTGAGAGAGAGAGAGGGGGAGAGAGAGGGAGCTAGTTCTCCCCTGACATCCCTCCTCTCGTTCGAACTTCCCCACCCTACAGATCAATATTGTAGCCACTGCCACAGGAGTGGTTCACCGCTCTCTCTCATCACCACTACCGCGCGGTATCGCGCGTCTCTGTTGGTCAGCACCAACCCCATGTGAACCACTGGCTACTGTACACCATGCTGCTAACGAGGGAGAAATATCAGTGGACAACTCATTCTCGGGGAGACTATAGCTGCCCTGTTTTGTCAGTTTCATTTCCCGTTTCAATGAGGAGAGATGTCTCTCGTCTTATGGATGCCGAGAACCACCTGCGGATGCAGGGACTGGACAGCTGGCCAGCATTCCCTGGATTTTTTTCCCACCTTTTTCGTGGTTTTATTCCTTCCGCTCTCGCTGGTTGCCACAACGATCAGTGCCAATGACCCAACGATGTGTGCATGGCACCGTGGCCCAATGACCCTGTTTGTGACCTCAAATCAAACGCATCGGGGGACTACGTTGACGGCGCGGCAATGGTTTGCGGGTGATATCGGGGTTTTTTGTTTGAGTCCTCTTTTTTTTTGGTTTTTTTAGTCCTGGTTGATTCCATTGGCCGTGATTCATTCGGGTTCTTTGGGGGTTCAGAGCGTTTGAATAGTGTAATTAGAGGGGGATAGTTGTAGCTATAAACGGTAAAAGTTTCGGGACGCTTTTTATCGAAATGTATCGAAACTGTCTGACCGCTAAGCCTCAATTGTGACTGGTCAGGGAGTCCCTAGAAAAACGAAGCTAGTGGATAAAACAACACTCGATGTTTTTAAGTTCTTCAAATTCACAAAGTACTTTAGCGGAACTGGTTTATTCTTCCTTCTTGGATTTTCCTCATGAATTTCAATTCCTTCCATTTTCCTTTTTTTACAAATGACATAAATTTAATTCTCTTCTATTTTTCGAATTGCATAGTCTGAATTCTATAAAACCGAGAAAATTCCCAAATTTCTTGAAAATTTGTACGCAAATGTCCGTTTTTTTTCATTCGAAAGATATTTAGAAAATTATTCAGTCTTCTAAAGAATTCCCAAATTTTCTGAATAATTCAAGAAAATTATTCACTCTTCCAGTAATTCGATTCATAACACTTCGAAAAGTGAAAGAGACTCAATCGAAGATTCACAATTCTCCATTAATTTTTCACTTATTATTCATCTTTATCATCGACTGAATTTTTTTCTCTACATCATTGATTTTTATAATGCATTTATGATTCTATGAAATTGAATACATTTGAAACTTGAATGAAGAAAAGAAAGATTCTCACAAGTAAATGATCTAATAGATTAGCGCACGCGTCCTGCCGAGATAGAAAACGTAGTCAACAAGTTTCGTCTCACTTCGTGTGTACACTCCAATGAAAATGTCCACACTTTAAACTAGCGGTGAATTGAGCGACACGAGAGTCCCCGGGACTCGTACGAATTTATAATTGCTCCATGATTGCTGGGGAAAGCGAAAACACTGGTCTGAAAGTTTTCAGGTGCATGGGTGAGTGCACTCCAAGCATTAGTGATATTTCAAGTATTTGCACAACACTCATTCGAGTTTGTCACTTTTCGTTTTTCCATCGGAGACGATGGGGTATTTGTGCACAGTTGGATGCGCGAATTCTTTGCGGAGGACATCCGGTGCATGCACATGTTTATCAAACGTTCATCATTTATTCAGCGCGACTGCATTTGTACTTTATTAGTCCATGAAACTACCGTGGTTAAAATTTATGGAGCATTAACGTGTCGTATGACTACATTAAATGTAAAACCACTGTTCTTCGGTTCTTCATTCCTCCCTCCTCACTGTTTAGTTTTCCATCTCGGGAAAGAATTTTTTAATACAGTCACTTGGGGACTTCACGAGATAATGGGAGAATTTTTTTAAGGGTTCATTCGTGGCATTGCGATGAGGAGGCAGAGAGGAGTGGTCGTAAAGGATTTTACTACTCGCCATTGGTAAGTCATGAAATTGGAGATTACTTGATAAATTTGGTTGTATTGAGCGGGGTCGTGTACCTAGACAGTACACGATGGTTTGAAATGAAGCGATGGCCTTTCAAGAACCTAGTTTATCGATATGTACCTAGTGTGGGTCGAGACGAGACCGCCTGAAGCTACTGCTGTTCGATTTGTGGCCACGTATACCTAGTGATGATCATTGAACGTCACTGAATACGTGGTGGCTCAACGGACCTATCGAACCTTATATGTATAATGGGATATCTAAAAAAATAGAAATCATGTAGAATTCAACCCATTTTGCCCCGTATTCCATGATAAAACCTCATTTATCCATTCAAACTTTTTAAAAAATACTCGGAAGGCTGCAGATAATCGAATAAATTATTCGTTTTTTTCTTAATTTTAATTGGATTATAAGAAAATCAATTTTTCTTCGATTTTCTTTCTTTTTTTTTCGATTTTTAATAAAGTTCAAAAAAAATTTCTTGAGTTATTGGAGATTGTAATTGTATTTGCAAGGCATTCAATCCGAAAAATATATTATCATGAAATTGCAACATTCCTCTACAACCCTTAAATAATGGATTGAAAAATAGAATAAATGAACGCCCTGACGAAGAACACTTTGTGGGTGCGAAACGTTGGCAATTATAGAAAGAATTTGGTTTCTCTTGATTCTCTCCGTTTTTCGTCTGATCAAAATTGCCGCTGATGACCGTTAATGGCTGAGGAATAGTCATTTGTTAACGAAAAATATATATTTTTTATCTTTATTGTCCTTAAACCGTACAAATCTTAAGTTAACGTGGAGTCTGTTGGATTCAATAGGAAAACGGACTGAGAGTGACTCTCAGATTTGCTGTCACTCCCCGCATTTTTCGCTCGCAAATCCAGAATGAGGTGTCTGATGCCAGATATCCAGGTGTTGCACAGGCTGGTGTGGTCCATCATCAGAGAGACGTGTAGTTTATCCGCTGCGTCGATGTCCTTGTCCCTCAGTGCTGAAGAAGCAGTGAAAAATGATTAACAAGTGTTGTTTCTCAGGTCACAAATAGAACTGATCAAGCTACCTTCAGAAATCCTCAACAATATCCCCTGAATCGTGTCATTGAGTTTCCCTGCACTCCACATATTCCTCATCACCTCCAGCCTCTTCTGCACCTCCTCCACCCTGCTCCTGTCCAACTCACCATCTATCACAGTTTGTATATTCTCTAATGTCTTGTGCAACGCCTCCTCTTTATCGGCAATTGAGGGAGCGATATCAGAGGTGTTTGGGACAGCCGTGGGAGCTAGTAGAGGTGCATGAGGTGCAGATGTTAAGCTCGTCAATTGCGCTGGAGGGGGTGGTAAATTACCAGGAGGCAACTGTTGCCCCGCAGCAACTGGATTACCTGGAGATGCTGGGGCTGAAGACAATGGGAAAGCCACTCTTTTGTTTAACAATCTCTTTGTTGGGGTTCCAGTGGAGGCTGGACTGGGGGTGAAGGCCCACTTGGGGGGGTCGTTCCAGCCCGGATCGTGGGACGATTGGAGACGCCGCTGCGTCGACACCACCTCCTCATCTGATAATAAACAATGACAGGTGCATTCTCTTCACATATGCCGAGGCTTTTGGTTAGGAAGGGATTTGAATGAAATGTAATTCTTAAAAAAATACTGGAGATAACTGTTGAGGCTCACCAGGTTTCTCTGCCATCTCCAGGGATTATTCCAGTTGAGTTATTCAGTTTGTTTGCATTGGCATCACTTTCAGAGAAGAGTAGTGATAAATGAATGTCGCAGGCAGAAGTTTATCTCCATTGAAATCCCTGAAGGCAGTGAAAACTTGAATTTCTCTGTCCAGCTGGCGCCACAATCGTCCTCATCTGCGAACGAATCTCGCACTCCGTAAGCCTTCGTGGCAACTCGAGAAATCATTCGGTGCACAGACGGACAGACGCTAGCTAAAACCCCACCAACTACGCTTCACCATTTTTATTGATGGGAGAGTGGTGCTGTTCAGTGTTGAATTCTCTCTCTTCAATAAATTCTCGTTTGGGAAATATCATTGACTCCCAGATAGCTTTTGACGCGATATTCACTCTAGTTCCTCTAGGATAGACGAAGTAATCGCTGGATCTTGAAGGTGGACGAGGTCAACGCAGGACAAGATGACGGCACATGACCAGATGCGAGCGATGCTCGATCAATTGATGGGGACTGGACGTAATGGTAAGCACTATTGGATAATCACCATATCGTATTGTATGATTGCACCACTGTATTACCCCCAATGCTCATTTTATTAGGTGAGAATAACAAATTTCAAGTGAAATACTCCGATCCGAAGGTCTGCAAGAGCTTCCTCTTGGCATGCTGTCCACATGAGATATTATCATCCACTGTGAGTATAAAATTCACTTTTACAAATTATCATTCTTTCGATTTTTTTTTCTCATATTTTCAATGGAGAGTAAATTACATCAAACTTGTCGCGTCGTTTTGGTATACAAAAACGGAGTCAATGAGTAAATTCAGGACAGTTCATTTTCACGTATCATTTTCAATTGTTGCTGTTGCTATTCACTGTTTTATATTTGCATTAGGTAAAGTCGTGATGTGGGAAATTGAAATTTATAAAAAAAAAAAATGAAAATTTATGTATTTGCGAGCTTGTTGAACGCGTAGACTAATTCTTGGTTTCCGATGCAGTTCTTATTTCCAGAGGTGTCTGGAAAAACCAATTCCAATAGAGAAACCATTCGAGAATAATGTCCTCTCTTATGTCGTACTTGTCTCTCGCACACACGCGTTAACCTGTAAGTACTGAAAAAAAAACAAAAAAAAACAAAACAAATGAAAAGTAATGAAAACCGAGAGATAAAAGGACGTACGTATGTTACTTCACATATAACATTACTTGTTTTTACTATAACCGTTTTTTGAAGTATTTTTCATGATATGAAAGCAATTGGTAGAGGCCCTGATCAGTCTTATCCTTCTCATAATTTGCCATTGCCGTACATATTACTTGTGAAGAAGAGAGAACATTCTTCAGGGGTATATTTATGCGGTAATGATTATTAAGGGGCCTGATGATTAGCCATCGACGTCATCATTGATATTTTGCAAATTCAATATGGAAATGTGAGCATCAAAATTCCGCAGTGAAGTCAATCCTTTTAATTATTCAATTATCTTGGTAACGAGGAAAATTTCAAGGCATTTTTTGTAGAAAGTGTCAACACTTTGCTCTAAATTCACTCATTATTGAGATACGTAATTCACTGTTTGAGAGAAAAAATGATAGCTGAGTTGCAACGATTAAAATCTTCACTGCTGAATTAATTGTCAAGGATAATGGTATGTACCCATCCAGTCCCCTTAAAATTTTGATGGTCATACGGATTGACATGGATGAGAGGTACACCAAAGAGTTGAATAAAACTATCACAAACATTAATAGCGCTTTGGTAAGTAGCGTAACTGATTTAATGCGATAATAAATGAAATATGAAGTTGAAGTTTAACGACAGAAGGCTGTCACATTAACGAATCATAATAATCGACTTCGTTATAATTCGTGAGTATGAACAAAGAAATGAAAGAAAGAAAAAGAATGCATAATTAGTCACACCCCGAAGGTACGCAGCCATACGCAGATACTCTGTAAGTAAAGCACTCTGAAAATGTCTTTCACTTTACAAGAGATTGAGAGAAAATCTATTGCAATGAATTATGGATAACTATCTCCTTGTGCATGAAAATCGCGGATTACAAATTAATCTGCAATTCAATAACCATTCGAATAATTTTTTCAACGATCATTCGTCACTTTAATCAGAATTAAAGTGACTCGACTCACGAAAATAGTTGGATTCAAAAATATTGAATGTTTGGAATGTGAACGATCATCCAGGATCGTGTGAAAATTCATCACAGGATGTACGTATTACGATTGAAATAAATTAAAATTATAAATTGTTAATTCAGATAACGACATTTGAAATTTGAATTTTGGTATTCTCAAAATTATTAGATCCAATTTTTGGGGATAAATAATTTAATAGAATAATTAGGTTGTAAGTTGTTGCCATTTGAAACATGAAATATAATGTGACGAAGCCTTAAGGTGTGTATGCTGATTTGTAGCATCATTACCCATCGCATTCGCGCGTCAGGCGGAGAGGTGTTGCCACTCTGTAAGTCAAAACCAACAGAATATTGTATCTACCTATATAGAAATAAAACCTTCCATCGCCGAAGATGAAAAAAAATCTATAAATATGAAGAATCATTCCATCTGCAGAAGAGCCTTTCTCACATAATTGATTCAACAAATTTGAGCGTGAAATTATGGGTGGCTGAGTGAATGGCTGTGTGAGTGGGAGTGTACGAAGTGAAAATAAATAAATAATCATAAAAGGATCATGAATTAAGATTGATTGATATTTCTGAATGAGGGGCCAGGAATATTCATATTTTATCAGAAAACTAAATGATTTCTTGAGAATCAACGTAATTCGATCTCTATTTCAATTGATATTGTCTAATGTTCTTTTATGATTTGTCAATCGCAGCGCATGGACCTGGGAGAATGCCCCCAGATTCACGATTTAGCCTTACGGGCTGACTATGAGGCAGCACAGAAGAAGAAGGATCACTTTTACGATATTGATGTAAGTAATGTCCTATATTTCAGAGATTAAGCGATCGAGACTTGATAAATACACACATCGAAATGCAAATTATTATCATAATTGAATAATTAGCAGTCATTTTCATATTCGATTCAATAATTTTCCAGGCAATGGAACATCTCCAGAATTTCATTGCCGACTGTGATCGACGTACAGAACAAGCAAAGCAACGTCTAGCAGAAACTCAAGAGGAATTGAGCGCCGAGGTTGCAGCTAAAGCAAACAGCGTTCATGTACTTGCCGAGGAAATTGGAAAGAAATTGGCAAAAGCTGAGCAGCTCGGTGAAGAGGGCTTTGTCGAGGAATCCATGAAGCTCATGGGTGAAATTGATGAGCTGCGAAAGCGTAAAAATGAAGCTGAACAGGAATATCGAAACAGTATGCCAGCCTCGAGCTATCAGCAGCAAAAGCTTCGTGTTTGTGAAGTATGCAGCGCCTATCTTGGCATTCACGACAATGACAGGCGTTTGGCGGATCATTTTGGTGGCAAATTGCATCTGGGATTTATCAAGATACGTGAGAAATTAGCTGACTTGGAGAAGACTGTTGAGGAAAGACGTAGGGAGAAACGGGAGTCCATGATGGACAGGGATAGACACCGTGACAGGGACGATCGTGATCGCCGAGACTCGAGGGAAAGAGGTCGCGGATTGGGGTACAGGGAGCGCGAGCGTGATCGTGATCGCGACCGTGATCGCAGGGACAGGGATAGGAGGCGCTCACGATCACGCAGCCGCAGTCGTGGGAAGAGGTATTAAAATCGATTTGCAAATTGAGAATGTTCAAGTGGAATATTACTTTTTTTTAAGGATATTCAAGTACTTTGAATAGTTTTTCTACAGTTGAATGCTTTTCTACTTTTGTTGTCGAACATCAGGGCTTTCATTTGTGCCCCATTTGACTCCAAGTTTTACAATTACATTTTACGAGGATTTTATTAGTGAATCTTTGCAGGTCTCATTTTGAATCTCGATATTGAACCGTTAGAAAACATTTTTAAATCTGAAAAAAATATAAAGTTTACTTTTGGAGGAAAATTGATGAAATAATTAGAAAATTTCAATTTTTGAAAATTATGATGGTTGAAACTGGTTGAATTTACATGTGGCCTGTGCCAAACTCCAAAAGATACTTGGATATCCTTAAGTTTTCTCTGATCAAATCAGTTTGATTTTTATTTCTTTACAACATTCCTATGGAAAATAATGAAAATAGAAAATATTCTAGCAAATTCGACTTAAATTAAACTATTAATATTCATGCAGTCAATGAATTCATCAACTCTAAACCAAATGTTCTGAATTTAATGCAATAAAATTATTTTAATAACTTCTCAGATCCAGACGTTCACGCAGCAACAGCCGCAGTCGTCGCTCTCGCTCACGACGAAGTGGATCAAACGATCGTAAACGATAATTCATCAGCCCCTCCACAGGACGAGGTAAGACTTTACGACAGCGACCAGACGTTACGAAGACGTGACACAACAGTTTTGAGGAAAGAGAAAAGAAACTTCAAGCGCCCAGGCTCACCATGCACGTGCAAATGTAATGTAAGCTCATAGAACATCAAATTGTCCTCTTTTATTTACAATTATTTTAAATTCATTATTCCATTCAATTACTCATACCTGTATTTGAATGAAAAATTCAAGACATCGGAATTTTAGCAGCACACTGCTGCCTCTTGCCACGCATTGGTAATTAATCATTCTACCTTTTTTTTTTTTAATCCAATGTTTTCGTACTTGAATATTTAAATTTCAAAATCAGTGTTTAATCTCCAGTTATATTTATAATTGATCACATGAATTGAATAAATACGATTTTGGAAATTTCCTAGATTTGTTCAGTAAGTCTCGGGTTATTTCGTCTTTTATGTAAATAAATTCTTCTCGATTAATTTTTCTTTTGGGAGCAGCCCAACAACAATCGATCATAAATCACTCGACAATTTCTCATATCTCATGGATAATCTTTTTTTGTTTTGCTTTTTTATAGTTAATTATATTAGCTCTAGCCCAATGTCTGTTATTGTGTAAACCTTCATCATCGATGAATTAATTAATAAAGGCATTCCATAACAAGAATATAAATTTATCGAAAAGTTTATTCATTTGAATTATCACACGTTTGTCATCAATTGCTGTTGAATTCTATTGTGCCTTGACCAACACTGTTGCAAGGAGACGAGGAGACCTTTAACGTTGATTCCACTTCCACGTTGCTTGCTGTGAACATTCAGGTACAGTCCCAGGAGAACTAGCGTACCTGACCATACGTACTGCATGGTAAAAGGTTTGTAGAAGAAGAGAAAACTTATTAAAATTGTCACTGCCTTTCTGCAGGTCGTCACTGTCACTGCAACGAATGCTCCATTTGTTTGAACAAGTGTTAGCACTATTTGAATTCCTAGATATCCACTCAGGGAAAATAAGAGGGCGTAGCCGTATGTCTCCATGGGATGCTGAAAAATATATTGTCCATAATAACTGAATTATACAGATTTTTTTTTATTTATTCATCTGAATAATTCTTGATTTTAGGTAAAAACTCAAGAGATGTATTTTGTTTTGTCCATATAATTTTTTATCCATAAAATTTTGTTTTGTTTTTAAATATGTTCATTGAAATATGAACTGAAACAAAATATTTATATCACTAGCAATTCCATATTCCAATTAAAATAAACAATTTACATTCAGTTGATCAACACTTACATCAGAACAGAAGGCAGCACCCTTTTGCAGTTCCCCAGTAGCGATCAAGATCACCAATAAATAGAAAAATCCTAAACAATATGAATAAAGTACTACTTCGGTATTAGTCGCCTTGTGCTGCTTCATAGTTTTCTCCTGTACATTTCCAATAATGGCATCGCACAAGAGAGCACAGCTGATCATGGCCACTCCGATAATACTGAATCGAGGGGAGATCATGCTGTCCGCTAAAGTAAATAAAACTAGCCCAATGCAGAGCAACCCAGCAGCTATGAAATCCAAGGGCCCATACTTTTTCCCTTGAATGATAATCCCACCAATGAGCACAGGAATGAGTTTGCAACTCTTAAAAATCACTTGAGTGGGGTAGTTTAAGTATCCTAGTGACGAGTTGGAGAAGCCCATTGTGCCCAGGGTGAGCAGGGCTAGCATCATGTAGGTTGATAAAGGAATTCTTCGTTTCACTCCTTTTAATTTGCACTCTAGCCAGCCGAATAATGTGTAATAGGCGAATTGTATGAGAGTCAAGTACCAACCGTAGGGTCGGAATCCATCTAATGTGAATATTAACTCCTGCAAAATTTAATATTAGATCAGTTGAATATTTCTTGATTCAATTATGCTGAGGGTGTATGGACATCAAAGCTGAGCCAAAAATTTTAGTTGATCAATGTTTTGAGTTTTTGCACGCTAATTTCAATCCAATGTTTTATTTATTTATTTATTTAGGGGAGGATAGGGTAAAATAGACACTTCAAAATTTTTCTTCAATGTTTATAACTCAGAAATAAATTCATCAATTCAGCTGAATCAGGGCTCATCTCAATGAAAAAGAATTACCCCATTTTATTAACAATTCAATTAACTATTGGCATTTTAAAAAAATGAAGCGTTCATTTTGCCCCATTTTATTACCTGAAGGTATCCATACAGAAGGTAGAAAAAAAATATTCCTATTGAACAGCTGATGAATCTCACTCTCTCACTATATTTTGTCAAGTCAAAGCAAAGGAGCTTAATTGAACTATCTTTGGCCTCATCTTCAGAGTATATTTTATTATAATTCATTATGATAAAATGTTATCCCAATGTTCTCTTTAATTTCTGACAATTCAAAATTTCGAGGAATGGAGTATGACAATCTTAAAATGACTTCAATTTGTTTGAGTAATTTATTTAATCTCCTCGTAATCAGCAATATTCGACAACATTTTTTTTGTCTCCATTCATCAAACGCTCTGCGCTGAAACAAGCGGAGTTTATTATTTTGATTATTCTGTCATCATTAGAAGTTTATTCAGAGACTCTTAATCGTGTAGATAGATAACATGTGATACGAACCACTAATTGACTTTTTCCCAGCAGTCTTCAATTTTGAATACAAACAGTCGTTACTACGTAACTCGGAGTGTCATGTGGTAGCGGAGAATTTGTTAGTGATCATTTAAATAATTGACCGGGATGCAGGAGACAATTGCGAAGTCCATTGTCGAATGTTTTTCACTCCACTACTATAATGTGGAATAATCTTGACATGTTGGGAGTGCAATTTTCATCAGCTCCATCTCAAGGCACTGGTGAACACTATTAACACTCAAACTGGAGGGAATCATTTGAAAATAAATAACGAAGTGAATGCATTTGATACTCAACATTTTTTATTCACTCGTGTAAAAATATTATACTGCTTACAAAATTTACACTGTACATTTTCCTCCACCCGTTCAAGCATATAATTTATCATTTAAGTGAAGAAAGACTGAATGTTTCGAGGTTTTTTGTTCGGCTGTGGAGTTTCAATGCTGAGTTTTCTTTTAGCTACAGGAGATTGTAAATTAGATGATCTATCTTCCCCTGTCGAATTTGCCACTTCACTATTCAAAGAGTTATTGATAATTCTCTGTAAATTTTCAGCAACATGAAAATCACAGTGCTCTTGAAATTTCGTCATGATTATCATTTGCTTGCACTCGGGACACTGTTTCTTAGGAGAATCGGTGGAATGATTTGATGAATTGTTGACGAAGAAGTTTTTAATGATCCCAGTTTTTTTAGGGGGAAGTTTAGTTGTCGTAGACTTGGATTTTGTTGCTCTAGCTTTGGCAATAGTTTTCAAATCGTTTTTATTAGTACTAGTTGAGACACTTGAGGTTTTTGACAATTTTAGGTAGGCATCAGCTGCTCTTTGAAGTTGGATGGGTAATAATTGTAGTACTGAGGTGTCAATGTTATTTAAATCAGGAAAAATGTCTTTGAGCTTCGCCAGAGCGCTATTATCCTCATTTTGTCCTGCCTTTACTTGTTGCTTTTCATTATCCTTCACATTTGAAGATGGGAAAGTCTCTTTGTAGGGCTCAGGCTGCCCTTCAAGTTCAGGCTGCCCTTCAATCTCACAATCATCGAATAAATCTGGAGACTCAATGTCACACTTATCCAAGGAATTTGACTCTAGCATCTCCGCATTCGCAGACTCTTTGAGAGGCTTCGATTCAAGTGATTGTACCGGTGTACTGCGAGAGTCTTTCAGGAAGTTAAGAAAAAAAGAATTCTTGAAATCGTCGCTGTCCAATGGGCACTTGGAAATATCGAAACTCAGTAAAAGATTAGGCTTCTGGTCAGTAACTTCAGGGAGAGTAATTTTGGCGTGATTATTCCTCTCCTCTTTAGAGGAAAATAAATTGCTCAAGTTGTTCTCCAGTTCTGCTTTGTGCTCAGTACCGTCCCTCTTTCTAGTGTAAGTCTTCACGTCCGATTCCTCAAATTTCACGTTCGAGTCCAAAGAATTCTCTTCATTTTGGGGAAAATCAGAGCTCTTTACCTCAAGTGAATTTTCAGAATTAGGCTCGAAATATTTTGATTGATTAATGAGATCCGGCTTGACCTGTAAATTCTCTGGTTTACCCCCACTCTTGAAGAAATTAACAAAGTTGCCACTGCCTTTAACAGCAATAAACTTGCCCGCTGACATTCCAATGAAAGCAATAGGCTTCTGCGTCGCCTTCGTAATAACATCAACGCACATATTAACAATTCTGTCAATTTTGTACGAAGTCAACGAACAACTCTTCGATTGGGTGACGACCTTCTTATCTTGATACCAATGATAACTGAGCGTCAAATGGGTCGCACGTCTCTCATTCTCCTCCATATCCTGCTCCAACCGGTCGACAATTTCCTCAGCGAGACATGTCACCCACCCCTTCAAATCCTCCAGCTTCGTGATGGCTGCCTTTCCAGGAAAATTTTTGCTGGATCCAATCGATTTACATATGAGTCTGTTAGTAACGGGCTCATTATCAATTCCTCTCGCAATATTATACAGCCACGAGCCAGTCTTATCATCGAAACGTCTTCGAAGATCCTGAAGAGAGTACTTCAGAAGATCAGCCATGACGTTGCAGCCAAGAGACTCCATCACAATATTCCCGAACTTTCCCCCCAGATTTCTAACTTTTTTCACAGGAAGGGAGGAGTACAGCCCAGTGACAGCCGCAGTGGGCAAAATGGTCTGCTTATTGGGCTTGTGTAGGCCACAAGCCAGTTTAGCCAAAATTTTATTGTACGAAATGCCAGCTGAGCATCGATACTCACACTGCGACCAAATTTCAGCCCTGAATTCCTCAACTAACATGCCAGCAATGGCAAGTTTCCTAGCTTGAACGTCTCCTAAATCTCCAAAAGCTTCACTCACCCATCTCTCGACGCCCTCTGCTCTCTTCCCCTCATCATTGCTGTCGTCATCGCAGTAACCCACGACGAAGGTGTTCGACAGGGCTCCAATCATCCTCTCCGGTGACTGCTCGGCAGAATCCATTCGTTCTTCAACGAGGCTCGTAATGTCCAAATAAGCCTCGTCGATACTAGCTCTCTCGATTATTGAACATTGCTTTTTCAAAACATCGATCACTTCTCTACCTGCTGATCTGTATCTCCCAGTGTCTGGTTTATTTCTCAGTGGTGGAACCGTTACCAGAACGATATCTGGACATTTCTCCTTTGCTTCGGGGCCCTTCATGTGTCGAGTCACTCCGTAATCTCTAGCCTCGTAGTTCACCGCTATTATGGAGCTGGGACCGAAGCTACTGTACTGGATGACAGCAAGGGGTTTTCCTTTCAGTTCAGGCTGGAGCTTTGCTTCCACTTGACAGAAAAAACAGTCCATGTCAATCAGAACTACTATTCTGTCACCAAGGTTCGCCATTTTTTATTTTTGAAGTATTATTATTGTTTATTATTATGCACTGATGAATTTTAAAGTGGAGGACATTAATTTTGCGCTTTTCGATTGTCTTTTGATCTTTTCCTTTTACACTCTTAATTGTTTATTTTAATTATTCTGCACTAAATTTTCAACTCTTCACTATTTAGCAGCATGAACCGAATTTACTCATTAAACTGACGGAATAATTGATATTGTTGTTTTGAGGGTTCAGAATATGCACATTCTACCATTCTTGGCGCCATTTGAGAGGCACAGGCATGCACAGATCTGCCTGCACATGATAATGGGCCAGAACAGCTGACGTCGGTGAGATTCCATTGGTCCTTCATTTGGAGCAGCCAATGGGAAGATATACCTGTATGATTTGTAACAATTTTTTATTTTTGTACTATTACTGTTTATTATCATGCACTGATGAACTTTAAACTGAAAGACACTAATTTTGTGTTTTTCACTGATGTCTTTTGATACTTTTTCTTTTGCACTCTTTATTTTCTTTTGATTATTCCGCACTAACAAATTTAAAACTCTTCACTTCATAGTCTCATTAACCTCATTTATTTATTAAAGTCACAGGAATACTTGGTATTGTTGAATTAATGGTTCAGATTATTGTTTATTATTATGCACTGATGCATTTTAAACTGAAGGATACTAAATTTTTCGTGGATGTCTTTTGATACTTTTTCTTTTGCACTCTTCATTGTTTCTTTCAATTATTCCGCATTGACACATTTTAAACTCTTTACTTTATAGTCTCATGAACCTCATTTATTCACCAAACTGATAGAAAAACTTAATATTTTTGAATTGAGGGTTCAGAATGTGTACGTTCTACGATTCTTGGCGCCATTTCAGAGGCAGAGGCATGGGCAGACACGTTAATGCGCGAGAACAGCTGACTTTGGTGAGATTCCATTGGTCTATCATTTTGGAGCAGCCAATGGGAGGTTATACTTGTAACAGTTAGATCAGTTGGGTGACGTAAAAATACCGGGTCAATATTATTTACAATATATTCGTAGTGAAGCTATAATTTTGTTATTCCGCTGTTTTTCTGTTAAAATGAGAGGTTTAATAAGTGTTAAGGATAGTTATCTGGGACGATTACTATCTCCAAATAATGGAAGACTGTTGTCAGATGCTTCGAGAGCATTATCAAAGTGTCATTATTCTTCAGAGAGTATTGTAGAACAAAAACAAGAGAAATCTCGGATGTTTAGGTATTTGCAAACAAAAATGAAAGCGTGTGGACCTATTACAGTGGCTGAGTACATGAAGGAGGCATTGACACATCCCACTGAAGGATATTACATGAAAAAAGATGTTTTTGGGAGCCAGGGGGACTTCATAACGTCCCCGGACATTTCACAGTTATTTGGAGAAGTAAATTAATCAATAAATCAATAATTAAAAATTAAATGTCAAATTATCCCCATAATAAAAGGATTAATTTCAGATGATTGGCATTTGGGTTCTAAGTGAATGGAGAAAAATCAGTAGAGATCCTCTTCAGCTAGTTGAACTGGGCCCAGGTCGAGGAACCCTCAGCAAAGATATACTCAAGGTTTTTAAACAATTGAGGGTGGGCGATAAGATGTCGATTCATTTAGTGGAGGTCAGCCCTGCACTGTCAGCTATTCAAGCTAAGAATCTATGTATTTCTTCGAAGGAAGTTGATACGAATGAAGGTTTGAAATATTATAGAGAGGGAGAAACTCAGGATGGGAATAGAGTCTTCTGGTATTACTGTGTGGAAGATGTCCCTCGGAAGTTCAGTGTGTTCATCGCACATGAGTTCTTCGATGCTCTGCCCATTCACAAATTTCATGTAAATAACAAAATTTTGCAAATAATTAAAAGGCTCATTTCATTAATATTTTAGGCGTTTGTTTTCTCTTTGTAGAGGAATAATGGAAACTGGAGTGAGATATTTATCGATATCGACCCGAGTGGAGAAGCATTGAGATACGTTACATCGAAGAGTCCAACATTGGCTAGTAAATTGTTTATAGATGTGAGAATGAAGAATAATTTTTACAGATCAACGCAATTTTCAGAGAATCACAATTTAGTTCAGTGGATTTATCATTTATTCATAATCTTTCAGGAACAGGAGAGAAGGAGTCATCTAGAGGTGAGCCCCCAAACCCTCTCGATCATCGATTATCTGGCCACATTTCTGCAAGAGTGCGGTGGATTCTGCTTGATTGCTGACTATGGGCACAGTGGAGAGAAGACGGATACATTCAGAGCTTTCAAAGACCATGAGCAACGAGACCCTCTAGAAAATCCTGGAGATGTGGATCTCACTGCTGATGTGGACTTCTCCAGAATATCGAAAATAGCAACCAAAGATGACAGGACAATAGTGTTTGGCCCAGTCGAGCAACGGGAATTTTTGTTACAGCTGGGAATAGATGTTAGACTGAACATGCTTGTGCAAAGGATTTCAGAGGAGGACAGGAAAGAATTAGAGTCTGGTTACCATATGATTATTGATGAGGATAAAATGGGAAAAAGCTTTAAGATGCTGGCGATATTTCCTACTGTGTTGAAAGAGCATTTGACCGCGTACCCTGTGAATGGATTTTTTCATGGGAGTAATGTACCGACTGCAGAAACTAATTGCTAATTATTAACGAGTGTAATTGTTTTTGCAAAATATTTTAAGTAAAAAATATTAAAAAGTAAAATCGTATTTTTTATTTCATTTTTTTTCATATCTCTTAGAAGAATTCAGCAAGTTACTTGTTAATTTAGCCTAAATATTCAATTCCATTTTCTACGATAATTTCTTGAGATGATTGAAATTCTCCAACTACTAAAATTCAGTTCAATTAAAAAATCTATTTATTCATAAATGTACAATAATTTTAAATCGTAAAGTCGTATTTTTTCCACTTGTCAGCAAATTCAACAACTTTCTTCCTCTGACCTTCAAAATTCTCTCGTCTAGGCTTTCTCCACATACTAGAATCCAAGTCCATCATGCCCCCAATGATCTCCTGAGCAAAATTCCTGGGGAATAATTTCTCATCCTCAATGACATGAGCGAACCCCCCGTGATCACCAAAGTCGACCATGAAGTACGGCAGACCTTTGGGGATCGACTGTTTAACATCTTTTTTAGACAAATCGACAACTTTTTTATTAGTGGACCACTCCATTTCGCACTCGAGAAGGGCTTTCTTGAAGTACATTGGAGCCATGCTGCCCACCTCTTCAGGCATGGGCACACACTCCAGCTGCATATGAGGGAACCTATGCAGACCCATAGCAACTTCAAAGAATACCGGATATTCCTGATTATCTGCACACATTTTAGTTATCGCCTTCTTGAAAGTCTTCAGTTCTTCGTAAATGTCTTCATCCAGTTGTGTCTGACAAGGACTGTGATGAATCGGAGCAATAATACAATGCCCAGGAGTTAAAGACACGTGAGGGGGAAGAGTCAGGTACATTTTGTGCCCCATAGCAACGATGAGATGCTTCAACATCTCCTTGGAATCAAAGCACAATCTACAGCTCTCCAAACTCTTCTCGATCCTGTTGTGTTCCTTGATGGCCCTCGTCTTGTCCCTCAAATCCTGTTTAGCATCGCTTTCACCCCTAGTGATATTCTGCTCGAACAGTTCGTCCATGTCCATGCTCTTCGAAGCCATCTTCACAAAGACGGATTCATCTTTACCTCGACTCCCCGAATCCCCTTTTTCTCTCTCGAACATCTCCTGAAGACTGTATTTATCGTCATCCGCAAAGTATCGCACCCGTTGACCCTTGTCGTGAGTCTCAACTTTTTTACTCTTCCTCCTGCCGCCCTGGGGCTCCTCGTAACGACTTCGAGGCTCCAGAGGCTTCGACATCCCCTTGGAATTGGTCACAGTCAGTATCACATCCTTTTCTCTTTCTCGTTCAGGTTCAGACGACTTGGGCGTCAATTTTCTCATCTTCCTGGCTCTCTCCAATTTTTCCTTCAGCTCCTGAGCTAGTTCCATGTCCCCCAATATCTCAGCTTTCACTATCTTAGCCCCGAGTTTATTCATTTCATCCTCAGACATGAGGGTTTCGTTTTCCAATGCTTTCGGTGGTTCTTCCCCTGAAGATGAATCTTCATCTTCACTCGATTTTTCTTTTCGATGAGATTTTGATCCTGATGGAGACTCCTGGAGTTTAATGCCATCATTAGCTTCAGGTTTCCTCCAGCCTTTTCTCGATGAAACAGATCTTCCAGAGGAATGAGAGATCCCATTTCCAGCGTCGTTCACTGGCATCTTGAATGCTGGTTTTCGTTTGTTATCAGGTGATTTCCAATCTTGGAAATTATTTCGTCTCCTCTCTCTGCTCCTCGAACGACTCCTGCTGCGATCTCTGTAGTGTCTCCTGTGCCTGTCGACGTCGTACTGTCGTCGAGAGGATCCTGAAGGTCTGCAGTTCTGCTCTGCCTCCTCTATCATTGATTTAATCGCGTCAAGAGAGCCCCATCGCTCTGCAGCGATTTCTTCCAGGGATCTTCCCTCCTCCTCCGCCTGCTCCTTTGCTCGCTGAAGACTCTTCTTGAGCCATTCAGGATTCATGATCCTGGGTTTTTTATCTTCTTCTGGAAGACCCGTTCCCCCATTCTTCCAGTGGGGATTCAATTCCCTTGAGTTCTGACCGGGCTTGTCCAAGATACACGTTTGCTTGTTCACCTCTTCTTTCTTAGGTTTTTTCTCTCTTGGAGCACAGAAAAAGGCGCCTGAGAGGCTCATCCACTCGTCTCGCTCCAGTGGTTCAGGCGGATTTTTCGAGGATTCTGAAGGACATTTTTCGATCCACTCGTCTTCTTTCTCTTCAGATGAATCACTGGAAGAGTCTGAGGAGCTCTTCCTTCGTTTCTTCTTTTTCTTCGATTTCTTCTCCTTTTTCTTCTTCTTCTTGGATTTTTCAGACAGTTTTGCATCCACTGAAGGCAACATCCACTTGTCATCTCCACGCTGTCGAGCTCTCTCACTCTGTGCCTCTCTCTTATGATATCTTTCCTCCGCCTCAGCCAGAATTCTTTCTCGAGCGTCTCTTATGGCCTGCCTCTCGGCATCCTTCGCCCTTGAACTCTCAAACTGAATGTACGACATCTTCCACGATTTTTCGATGAATTTTATGGTGAATTTTACAGTTTATGATGCCATTTACAGTTTATGATGAATCCTGATTCATCTCAATTTGTTGATTTTCCATTGCGTTTGTGGTACACTTGGAACTAGGTTATGTTATTAGTAGTGTTGTAATTTACCTCGTCAACACACACTCACTCAAAATACTTGTGACTGGGGTATTGACGTCACGTGATGGACATTCCAGCAGTCGTGTATTCCCCATCGTGATTACCTCGGGGATTCACAGTACTCGTCAAAATTTCATATCATCGCCGTTGGCAGCAGACCACATGCATATGCCCTCTAATCTCTCGAGTGGAATTCCATAAAAAAATGATCAACACCGAACAGACAAAAAAAAACTCGAATAAATTTCAAGATTGACGATGGGTGTTTCACCACATACCTGAGACACCAGTGCGTGCGCAGCTGCCCCCTTCGCCCCTGCGCATTCATTCGTAATGAAATAGTACAATAGTATAGGACATACTGCTTCATCGAAGATAAGAAATGGATTCAAATTTTATCTCTCTGACTGAGGTATGTGAAAGTGACTTGATCATTAAAAAAATGAAAGCCAATTGATAAAGTTAACTGTGGTGTAGTGCATTGAGTGATGAGATTGGTAACCGATGGAGAAAAATGCCGTCCATCGAGCTGTCAAACACTGTAGTTTGCCATAACCTTGATCGCATATGATCCTTCCAATTTGTTTACCACAAGCCTGATTGTTATGAACGAAGATATTCCAGTTGATGAGTAACCGTTGAACACCTCGGCGATTGCATAATTTATTTATACTACAATTATTTATTCAACGGATATTGTGACATGCTGTGAATTATGAGGGGGGAGGGGAGTATGTGTCGACCTAGAAAAGTTTTTTGATGACAGAGCCTCGAGGGATTTGCAGAGGAAATTGTTTTGAATATTAATCGGATAATGAATATTGAGGAGAATCGTCTGAGGACTTTCAGCGACTGGCCCCAGGACGCAGCAGTCAGTGCCTCGAGAATTGCAAAAGGTGGATTTTACTACACCGGACATTCTCTGGAGGTTCAGTGCTTCATCTGTGGAATTAGGGTATCCGATTGGAATTATGGAGATCAAGTGATGGTGAGACACAGGCAGGCCGAGCCCAACTGTCCGTTTGTCAGGGATCCAGCTAGTACTTGCAATGTGCCAATTGTTGAATCACTCGAGAGCATCACTTCCCAGCCAACCTCGTCTTCGCATGTGTCACAGGGAGGTGATGCACGTGGTAATGTTGAGCAGGCGTCTAGGGCATCGACAATTGCGCAGAGTGAAAATCCCAGGGTTGAGTATGGGAGCTTTGCACAGAGACTTGATTCTTTTCGTAATTGGCCAAGCACTGCTGCTGTCACACCTGAGCAGCTGGCTAGGGCTGGATTTTATTACCTTCAGTCGGAAGATATGGTAAAGATATGCTCATTTTTTTTATTTCGAGGAATGAATGGATTTTAGGAAAATGAAAAATGAGTTTTAAGGGAACATTTCTCAATCATTTTGTTTGTAATTTCTAAACAGGTGGAGTGTGCTTTCTGCAGAGGAATCATGAGAATGTGGGAGCTGGGGGATGATCCTGATGTTGAGCACAGAATTGGATTTCCTCACTGTGATTTTTACGCTCATCAGGAGTCGAATTCAGGTAACAATCCCTTGTAATATTATTACAGGTGAAAAAACCTTGGGGAAAGTCATTTGTTTACAATGCTGACAGTCGCCTTAACCTTCGGAGTTGTTGAATAGAGCATATACGTATAAATTTAAATCTCATATTTATGCAGTGAGGGCTAAATATAAAGGTTTTGCTAATGCCAAGACAGTCGATACGCAGCTTCCGACACATCAAGTGTAGGAAAATAATTATTCGCGGCTAATTCACGATTGGATTTGATGGGGTCAGGTATTGTTGTCTAGTAAAAGCTCAAAAATACTGCACTATATAATTAACACGTGACATTGAAGTGCTGATAAGAGCAGCCACCTCTATAGATTCACATTTACTCAAATTTCGTAACATAAATCTTGCATAACTAGACAAATATTTGATTCCTCAGGGCTGTCAACGGAAAAAGAGGAATTAGGAAATGTTAAATTACTGTCGGCATCGGCTGCGGATTTACACAGATTAGGAATTCAAAAGCATACTGCTCCTAGACAACCTAAGCATGCCACCTATGAGGGCAGATTACGAACATTCCAAGGTTGGCCGGAGAATCTTCGACAGACACCTGAAATGCTTGCAACTGCAGGATTTTATTATGTTTGTGAGTTGATGGAATTAATTTTATTGTCTTTTAGTTGAATAAATTACCAATAAACAACGAATTTTTATATGTTTCTCATATTATTTTTTTTTCGATAAATGATTCAATATTTATCAAGTAAATTGTACAGCTCCTGTTGAATATATTGACAGACGCCTGAAATGCTGGCAATTGCAGGCTTTTATTATTTTTGTGAGTTGATGGAACAAATTTAATTGTCTTTTAGTTGAATAAATTTCTTTAAAAATGCCTTTTTATAAATTTTTCAAAAATTATTTTTTGCTGGATGAATAATTCAATATTTATCAAGTAAATTGTACAGATTTTGTTGATGATTGAATAGTACTATCAACAAAATAATGTAAATAAAGCTTCAGGAGACCAAGTTCGATGTTTTCACTGCGATGGGGGTCTCCACAATTGGGAAGCTGACGACGACCCATGGACGGAGCACGCCCGTTGGTTCCCCAAATGCGGTTACGTCGCAATGGTTCGAGGTCAGGAATTCATTCGACACTGCGTAGATAATCGACCGCCCCTGGATCCTCTCATATTCCTTGGAGTACCTGAAGATGGTGATGAAGATGTTACAGGTACATCTATGGGTCCATCCAGATCCTCGGGTTCAACATCCACATCCAGAAGCAGGCCAATCTCAGATTCACAAGTGGAAGAGCTCTTGCACTCAACACCAGCAATAACAGCTCTTCAGATTGGATTGAATGTTGGCAGAGTCAAAAGGGCGTTGAGAGAACGAATGGAAACAATGGGTACACCGTATACGAATGCTGATCAGCTGATCGAACATGTTCGTCATATTCATTTGACTGAGGAGAGCAATGGGTAATTAACTAATTTAATTTTCACTTGATTGAAAATAGCATTATTGAAATATTCTTATTAATTGCGATTAAATTATCGATGAAAAGGACCTAGATACTTCAATATTGAATACTTTTCGAGGAAGATTGATGAAATAATTGAAAAATGGCATTTTTTTTAATTACGAGAATTTTCTCCAAATAATTTATAAACATTTAATTTTCCACCATAAAAATCATTTGTTTGGGATCGTAGCAAATGTATTCATATTCAAAATTTTACCCCCATAAAAATAAAATTTCGAAAAGATTAAACTATTTCAATAATTTATTTATGAACGATTGTTTGAATAAATAATAATTCGGTGCAAAATTTATCTCACGCTATTTAATTTGACTAATTTGATGATTGAAAATGGTTGAATCTATAGTATGGTCTGCACCAAACTGTAAAAGATACTTGAATATATTAATTAGGGGGATTCTAGGGGGAAAATATTCTTCAACATTTTTCCGTAAAAACTATCAATATCAACCGAGGTAATTCAGCATCCAGTGAAACATAGCTTATCGACTTGTCCTGTCCTGTTCTGCTGCATTTCATCACTCCTCATTAGAATTACTGAGAAAATAATGACAATATAACATTTCAGACTTGACAATAACGTGGAATCATCATCCTCCGAGCTTGCAACACTGCTGAGTCAAGTGATAAGCGCGCAGTCGTCATCAAACCGAGCACCAGAGTCAGCGCGAACGAATGGCAGACAAAACGATGTGAAATTCCAGAAGAGTTCTGACGAGGAAAATCGAGACGATCCCGAGCACTCAGATAAAGACAAAAGAGTGGAGAGGAAAACGGAAAATGGATTGAGCGACGAGCCACGTAATTCAACCGACCAATTATTTTTCAAATCACTTGGATTTTCCTTGGTTTTCCGTAATTTTTCATTCTTTTTTTTCAGTATCTCTGGAGGAGGAAAATCGAAGGCTAAAGGAGGCTCGTTTGTGCAAAATCTGCATGGACCGAGAAGTATCCGTTGTCTTTCTACCCTGTGGTCATTTAGCCACGTGCGTTCACTGCGCCCCATCACTTGCTGACTGTCCCATGTGTCGACAAGAAATTCGTGCCACTGTCCGCACATTTCTCGCTTAGGGGATCTGGTTACATTTGTCTCAACGACAAAGCGACATCAGATTAGTTTTTTTAGTATAAATTCCAGACGAAAGAGAATATTGTTCAGGTTAATTTAATAACTTATTTGAGCGAAGTTGCGCTGAGTTTAGGGTACCAAAGAGTTAAAACTTATTGAATAATGAGTATTCCAATAATGGAGTTCAATAATTGAGTGGGATGAGGAAACGATAGTACCTTGTGTTATCAATGCAAAATTTGGTGCTTGACAAACGAGATATTACTTTACAGTTGATTGATTGATTATGCAAGACACATTCACCTTTTTTTCCTCCCCTGACTGATGCCAAGCTTGTTAAACAGTTCCATTCCACTATTGACTTCATCAGTTGTTACCTGAATTGACTTCCCCAATTAAACTACTGATGTATCCATCCTTTAAAACATTTGACGACACGTAAGAGAGGTGATTCAGCGTAAAAAGAAACCGAGCCTTAGCAACCATCAATTATTTTTCTGCTATAATTCCTGTAGAAAATTTTAGGAGAAAAATAGGATTACAGAGAACGATATAAATAGCTGTATATATCATTGTTCAATGTTGACTCAGTTTAATGCTAAAATACAATATCCATTTAGAATTGAAATCCGTGGAAACTTGTTATTCAACCCAAAATTCCACCGAACAATGCCGAAAAAAAAAATCGAGTCTTTATCAATGGAATAATTTCCAGTTATAATCAGTCATTGCAAATGACAACGGCCAAAATAAAACGAAACGGTATCTTTCATACGTATCTTATCGTCTTTCCACTGAGCCCTCCCACTATGTCAACTTGATAGTCTCGCTGAAAATCAAGCTGACTAGGCTGTGAGGAGGAAACCGCAAACGGTTTCTGGTCATTCAAAACCTAGTCAACGTCAAAATATGTCGAAGGTATAAAATAACACGTCGAATGGATCTCAAGGGTTTAATTAGCGGATTTTTAATTGCACACGTGAGTATAACAATTAAACATGAATCGGGCAGTTCAGTGCAGCCTCTGCATTTTTGCAAATACATGAGCAATAGGATAATTTAAAAAATAACGTTCCATAATTGCAAGAATTCCATAATTCTCAGTAACGATGACACACTCGACTATTCAAAAGGAAAGTTGCGATGGGTAATCTGTTTTCTCATGAAAAATTTTCCGGCGCCAGGGGTCTACAGATTGCGCTATTTGCTCGTATAAACCAATATAAGCCGATGACTTATATCGCCCGATGTTTTGTGAGAATTTATTAATCTTAAGTTCAAAACCGTCAACAGATAAATCGCCGCGGACTGTCGAGCTCAAAGTTTAAAATGCACGTTCGTAAGTCGTGATAAATTTCTGTGGCTCAAAAAAATCTCGTTAGCAATCAATTCAGAAGCGGCAAAACGAGCGAAGTCTTAGATTTTCGGGGAATACCTGCGAATCTAAGGGAGACAGCGAAATTTTCATGAAAATCTTTTTTGTAGGTCTCAATTCGCTCTGCAGAAAAGGTTCTGACAAAAATTTTGCTATCCGCCTTAGATTCCGAGGTATTCATTGAAAACTGACGAATAGTCAGAATCGACTTAAACCGCTTTTCTACTGAATTGATATGCCTTGTCCCATCTGAATGCTACATTGTCAAGTCTGTTGAATTCAAATAAACATTGGGGCCAGTTCGGAAAGTTTGCAATTGCAAAAAGCTGCTCCAATTTGGGAAAATGAAAATTACCGTTATGTGAGACAGATCGATTTCTGTAATAGGGTACGTGGCCTGCGTCGTAGGGAAGCGCATTGGTGGCCAAGGGGTGGGATTTACAACCCCTGCGAGCCCTTGGAATAACAACAAAAAAAATATTGGGTTTATTCGGCCGGCGGGCCGAAAAACCAAGGCTGTGCGCTCGCTACTCCGTCTCAGAAATATTTCAAACTCGATAATTCGACTAAGCAAAGGAACATTCATTGATAAACGCGTAGACAACGTCGGTTATTAACATTCTCCAAGTGCTTGGGTTTATTATCGTTATTTTTTTTTTTTGTTATTTCGTCACGACTCAGCGTCCTTTTGCCACGGCCTTCTCGGCCTTACAGGCTTGTACACAACATTTCTGCCTTCTTCGAGCAATTTTAATAGTGGGGAAAACAGAAAGCGTTCGTCGACTGGGCGTCTTGGTGGCAGCTGGTCCCTTGTACAGTAATATCCAGCTCAGAGACTAGGGAAGCCAAGTCTCGACGCCATTACAAGTGCCCCTCACTCGTTCTCGCTTCGAAAAATTCAACGCGGCTTGTACGGGGGCCTCGCCGTCAATTCCAGTGAAATGTGCGAGTTCAGACTGCTAACACTCGCGAGTTACGTTTATTCGTGAGTGAAAAAAAAAGGGAAAAAAACCGAAAAATTAACAACTAATTGTCCGCGTAAAAGTCAGCACATGAAAAAATTCATTTGGATTTATGTTTTTTCTTTTCAACAGAGACTGAGTTTGGAAGTAATCTTTTAAATTACAGTGAATGATTGTTCACTCTTTTAACTTCGAAAGAACGTATTTTAAAAATCGAGGCCAAGTGTTCGAGTGGAGAAAAACATCGCTAATTCAAGAGGGAATTGGTATGTTAACGCCCACACGATCGCTAATTAACATTGTAGCTTTATTTTAACTGACAATACTGTAACAGATGGAACAGCAGATTGCATGAATTATTCTGCATTGGGTAGAGATAAAGCACTGAAATCAATTCCTGTAAAAATCTCCCATATTGATTTTTCATGCGTGACGTTAACAGTTGAAAATAGAGTATAAATAAGTCTTCGATCACTGGCTTTCCTATTTGGGCGCGACGATAGGCTCAGCTCTCACACAGAGCAGTTCCAAGTGTTACTGGTTATTGCATCCCACCATGATTGGGTTTATCTCCTGCGTTGCTCGCATCTATCTGGAATAAAGAATGACGAGCGTGAAGTAAAGCCAAAATAAAAATAGGAGAATAAGGCGCTAGAAAATGAGCTCCTTTATGAGTCAAATTTTAATGTTTATTTTTCACTGGAATAAATAATGGAATGATTGTACCGTGACTGTGTGTGGCCATTTCCTGTCCCACGTTTCGACCATACAAAGAACACTGCTTTTGTATTTGTGTACATATTTGATACCGAGCCGTATGTATGTGTGGGGTTTGTAATACCATACACAGGGATCGGTCTATCTGTCTTTTAAAATCCCACCATCTCGTTTCTTTCCTCTACCCTCTCACTCGTTGGCCGCCATCCGATCCAACACTGTTGCCACGCGGACCCCGACTCGAGAATGAAATACGATTAAAAAAACAACCAACGGGAAGGAAAAAAGAAACAATTTTTGCGACGTGCAGGCATATGTGAAAGTTGAGATTTGAATTGGAAGAGGAAATAATGGGGTATGAGTCATTTTCGCAAACAGGAAGTGGCGATTTATTCCTCGACGTAAAAATTCATTATTCACTCGCGGAAAAATTATAAAATACCGTCATGCCATACGGAAGATGAACACTGGCGCTGGCAATTTTGTTATTAAAAATTGTGAAGTGGCACATTTTTCCGGATGAACGAGGCGCGTAGATGAAACCGTTTGTGTAAATTCAGAGATGAATTAAATTCGCTTTAAACTCGCGTTTATTTTACTGCAATTGGGGAATCGTGAGCCCATATACATACAATAATTATCAGTATTCAATATCTTTAGTCATCTGGAACTGTAGATAACTGTTACTGTGCGATCTTTCTGATAAACTAATAGCGAAAAAAAATCGCTCGAAAATAATAATGCGGGTATCAGCCCCATTTTTTATTTTCAGAATCGCTATCTACGCTGTTAGACAATAGGGGGTAGGGTAAAACGGACACTTTGGACTTTTTTTGAAATATTCATGACGTGTTGAATTGTTCATGAAATGGAATAATTTTATTTTTCAATTGAAAAACAATGATTCCTCTTTGTGATGAGCTGAGACTGAGCTCAATTGATAAATCTGTTTCTGAGTTATGAATATTTTTAAAAAAGTCAAAAATGTCCATCTGTCCATTTTACCCTGCCCTCCCCTACTCTTGAAATTTCAAGTGAAAAAGTTTGAAATTTTAAACAACAATAAAGTTACATGAAATTTCTGTATATTTCTTCATTGACGAACCAGTTGATTTCCTTAAATATTGAAAATTGAACCTTGAAAATTTTTCAAATTCAGGCAACAATTTTTCTGAATTCTCAATCTATTGAAGATTGAATTGTATATGATGTTCAATTTTCACAGAGTGTAGAGATTCAAGCGTTCATTGAAAAATCAATGATTGTTTACCCCGAAAAACCCACTTTTCTTGAATTTTCAAGACGAATGAGAAATTTAGTCAACGCTATCGCTTGAAATTTAATTCAACCTCACCATCGAAAAGTCAGGTGACGTTATGACTGAAATTTCCAGAAATTTCTACCAGCGTGGCAATAAAGCTTATGAATGAAAAAAACTACGTTGATGTCAATTCAATATGATTATGTTCATCCGGCAGTTGTGGATCCACGGCAGATGGTTTCACATCTCAGTAGTTTCTAGACAATTATAGCAAAGAGAGATACCATCCAAAGGAATGTCCAGAGGCGGCGTTCTCTCATGTTTGTGGTGGTATTTACCAACACACAGGAGGAGACAGTGGAGCATGACTTGCCGCTAAGATATACGAATAACACGAGGAGAATGTATAGGCGCGAGGGGGGGGGG